AACTCGCGATTTGTGCAGTTTTGAATAAAACCAAGTTAGCGATTATGAACAATGGTTATTAACGTAACACCTGACCCCCTCTGCACTTTTTGTTTCGCATTTTAAGGTAAGAAATCGACATTTGAAACCGACAGGGTGTCGATTTACTCGGTGCCGTGTTTCACAACTTGTTTAATTATATACGTATAGCGGATGATTTTTTTTTTAAAAATTAGTATTTATTGATTTTCAGCCCCCAAGTGACTGTGTACTAAACTAAGTGACTTCTAAAGACTGAATGGTGTTTGCGAACTTCCTATTAGTTATAAACCGACGTCAGCTTCACGTTTATGTCACCATGGAAACAGCCAAAAAACATGTTGCTTGTTTTTGAGCGGAGCGGATCGCCAACCAGCCTACCGGCTTGTTGAACGTACCTGTGACTTGTTTGGTGTATTCATCCCAGTCCCATGACCGTATGGTCATATCAGAGGGAAGAAAATCTACTTCCTGTGCAGTTGAACCTATACAATATAAAATGAATAGAATATAGCTTATTTCAACCTCAAAGAAAATGTGACAATTCTGCTTTGGTTTCTATACATGTACTGTTGTAGAAGGAAATAAAATTATAAAATATTTTAAAATGTGATAAATACTATAAAACTGTGAGTGAGTGGACGAGTAAGTGAGTGAGTGAGTGAGTGTGTGGGTGGGTGGGAAGGTAGGATGAGTGGATGGATGGATGGATGGATGGGTGAGTGAGTGAGTGAGTGAGTGAGTGAGTGAGTGAGTGAGTGAGTGAGTGGATTGATGAATGAATGAATATACCTATGATTAGCGGAACATCATTTCCTTTTCCCTGCTGCCAAATTTCCAGTGGAGCATTTGGTACGACCAAACCATCGACTATACATATAGGGCCGTATAGCAAGCCTTTCGTTGGTAAATCACACGCATCGGCTGGAACCCAGTAAGGATATATATCAATAGGAACTGCATCCATAACTTGACTTGGTGTCAGGGAATACAAGCACTCGGCATCGCTGCAGTTTGATCTATGCAAAAACACTAAATTATCTTTTTCTGCTTGTTCCAATGTGGCGTTGAATACACTTGATGAACTTGACATCCAGGCCCGATGGAAGAGACCTTTAGCCAGAGGAGATACCATCATCGCCCAAACAGACGTTCCGCCTGAACTCTGTCCAAATATTGTGACCAAATCAGGATCGCCACCAAAATACCTTATGTTACGTTGGACCCATTCTAGAACTAATATTTGATCCATAAACCCGTAGTTTCCAGACGTGTTCGTTATAGACCGTTCCGACAGAAGGTTGAGTGCCAAGAATCCAAAAGCATTTAATCTGTAGTTGAACGTCACATACACCATGCCTGTTTGTTGTACGGTCTTCTCGTGTGGGTGGTAACCAACCTCAGCTGCACTTGAAAACATCATATACCCGCCATGTATCCAGACCATTACGGGTAGCTTCGCTGAGAGGTCGAGTGAAGGGGTGTAGATATTAAGGTAAAGACAATCCTCGTCACCTACCCTCCCAAGAACTGGTTGGTCTTGAAAACACCACTTGCTGAACTCGAGGGCCTTCAGAGTTCCTTTCCAGCAGCCATCGCCATTAGTTAGAGGTACGGGTGGTTTCCAACGCAGTTGGCCTATAGGTGGCTTTGCATAAGGGATTCCTTTGAAAATGTGGACGCCATTATTTAACCGTCCTTCAACAGGTCCGCAGTATGTCTCTGTAAAACACGGAGCTTCCTCGGACGTAGAATTTGTAGAAAACTTCCATGACGAATCGTCTGTATCAATTATATGAACGTGGTTCGATTGGCTGGGATCCTCGGCGATGACTCTCGTCCACAAAATAATAGTACATGCCACAACAACAACATACATTATGTTTGTTCTATCAACGTTTAAACAGTCATGTGACAACACCTTGCCTGACCTTATCGAAAGGACCAAGCCCGCGATTGCCAAATACATTGCAGTATTTCCTGCAGTATAATATATATATATTACCCATGTAATGTATAATAATACGTAAATCTAAGGATATATTAACACAGATTTATTTAATGACAGAATTGTATTGAGTTAATTCTAAAGAGGTTACTGTAACAGTATATTGTTGTTGAATTTCTTTTAATTTAACTTGCTAATTTCATATGTTTAAAAGTGAGTAAATTTAGTCAGTCAGAGAACGAAAAAGTAAATTCTCTGCTCCAACTTCGGCCAGGGGTCGACCAGTTACCGGTCTACCAGAGTCATCTACTAGTATTTCTATGGAACAATCTCTGTAACATTGAGTAAATATTAATAAAATCGGTATCAATACGTTGCGTTCTAGTATAGTCTACTGTATTCTTAGTGTTGCATCTACTCCACTGACAAAAACAACGTCCATATAAAGAAATGTTACTCAAAGTAATATAATATATATAATTTTAGTGTTTCTTCATTCATCATGGAGACGCATATCATACTGTTTATCATTTTTTTATTACTAAGAGAAAAGCGAATGCAGAAATGCGGAAATTGTCCCTGGAATAGTACGTATTCTTACTTTTGATCATATAATTCATTGTATATATATTATTTTTTTGTAATAGTATTTTTTATTCTCATTTTCATCACGTAGATCTTGCTTGGCTCAACAGCAAATAAATAAAAATAAAGTATAATGTGATTTATGAAAATAAATAATTAAATACATACATATGATAATTTTTTTTATTTTAATTACATTGCCATTCGAGTGTATCTATCTTGAATGTCCCAATTTTGGTCGGAATTAAATGAAAATCTAATGTCATATCCATATGTTCTCGTACATATTGCCTCTGTGAGGATACGTTTCCATATTTATTCAGGGTAACAATATATAACTTTACATTGATAATAAATTAGACCATCGTTAACTCTAAAAAAATGTGTAAAATGCAATATTTCGATAGGTGATGAAATAAGACTATTACGCATGATTGGAAGTAATGAATAAAGTAATGATATAAGCCCCCACCCCCACCCCGCCCAAATATATCTTTTTGACGATTTTTACTAGGATTTTAATTAAAACGTTGACAAAATGTCATTCAATTTCACAATCAGCAGTACGGTTATCTCTATATTATTACGACATTATTATGATATTTAAATCAAATTTGAAATTTTCATAAAATCCATCGTCAACGTACAACTTTACAACGCACAATCTCTTGTGCTGTAAATCCCGCCCTCTAGAGTCGATGTGACGTGTCATTTACAAAATGGCCACGTACAGATGACAGCTGCCTGAAGTTTACGACTCAGAAGACGATGTCGTCGCTTGTCATCGTTTGGTCTGTTTCTATCCTCATAGCGACGTCCTCTTCTGCCAAATCAAGAGTACGATCCGATGAAGAAACAAAAGGTAAATGTCTCATTAACCTTTCATTGAATAAAACAACCATCTGACGTACCGATATACATTTATCTTGAGACTGTGTGTAGGTTTTACATAACACATTGGATGGTACAACATTCACGATTGTGTCTAGTTCATGTAATTTAAAATATGGTAGATCTTATGTTGTAGTAAACCAAACAGGGAACTGTGTCACGGTTACTACAACCTTGTCATGGTTCCGAATTTTTTTTTTTTTTTTTTGGGGGGGGGGGGGTCAAACGTAGTATTTATTATTTATTTACTTATTGACTCTTACACAATCCTCGGAGGGAAAGAAAATGGTCACAAAGTACAAGAAAAAAGAATATACTAAATAACAAATACAATCACTAAGTTACTAAATAATACAAAATCTCTAAAATACTAACTAATAGATAGATAGAATTTTTTATTTGGAACGTACCAATGAAATCTTGAGTAAAGTCCAAAAATAACTATAACAAAACAAAATATTCAGAACAACAAAAACTTACAGTACTAAAACATATCAAGAATATTGAAAATAAATTTTGCAAAAATGCTAAGAATGAAAA